GAAAGAAGGGACACTATCAGAGAGTTTGTCGTGCTTCACAGCCCACGAAACGAGTTACGTCGGCGGTAGATTCCGTCCTCTCTTCAGTAACAGTTGCTGCAGCCCCTCATTGTCTGTCTAAAGCAGTTACTAATGGTCAACAATATCCCGTTACAGGCACTCATCGATACAGGCAGCTCCAAGAGCTACGTATCTCAGGCCGTCGTTCAGAAGTATAACTGGAAGATTATACCTTCACGAAGTCGGATCATCATGGCGTCCACAGCTCTGTCAAGTGTTACACAAGGCCATTGTTTGGTTTCGATATCATACAAAGGTTCGGGCTATGAAAATATCAAACTATCCGTAATGAAAAGATTATGCGCAGATGTACTGCTAGGCCACGATTTTCTCTGACTACACAAACGAGTGGAACTTCTATTCTCTGGAGACAGACCCATATTCTCCGTGTGCGGGCTTCTGGCTGCGAAAATAGAACCACAAACCCCTTTTGGGGACTTATCACCCGAATGCCGGCCTATCGCAACTAGGTCCAGAGGTCAATCAACACCAGATGAACTATTCATACAATCCGAAGTTCGGAAATTACTAGATGCATCGAACCGTCGAGGTCCCCTTGGCGGGCCCAAGTTTTATTAACCTCTAATGAAAGACAAGAAACGCATGGTTGTGGATTATAATCAAACCATAAATCGATTCACGCACCTCGATGCGCATCTGTTTCCCCGCATGGACCACTTCATTGAACAGATTGCGCGTTTTGATGTATTCAGTACCCTAGACCTGAAGTGCCTACCACCAAATACCCATCCAAACAGAAAAAAGAAATACACCGCCTTTGAGGCATGTGGAAAGCTATATCAGTTAATCCGCATCCCATTCGGAGCGACCAATGGCGTAGCATGTTTCCAGCGGACTCTGGATAATGTAATCAACAAGGAACAACTATCTGGTACGTACGCCTACGTGGAAGACGTAATCATTTCCACTTTCTGAACCCGTCACACAATGCTTTGAAAAGTTAAAACAATAACTTGAAAGCGCGATGGCAGTCACTGTGGAACCCGGAGTGCTTCTTGTTGTCGAGACAGATGCCTCAGATATTGCCATCGCTGCCACCCTCAGCCTCTCTAGAACACTAATATCAACCAAAAGGCATCATTCCGCGGTCGAAAAAGAAGCTTACGTCATAGTGCAAGCATTGAGAAAATGGAGACACTATCTACCGGGAAACCATTTCAAGCTGGTCGCCGATCAACGATCATTTGCATTCATGTTCAATAATGAGCCAAAGGAAAAAATAAAAAAAACGAAAAAAATTCAGCGCTGGAGAGTTGAACTATCATGCATCCTATACGATGTCATCTACCGACCAGGATGTGACAATTTAGCGGCCGACGCGTTTTCACGCGGCTATTGTACAGCCGCTATAGATCCCAAAGTGCTAAAGGAGTTACACGAGGCACTCTGTCATCCGGGGATAACCCGTATGTATCACATCATCCGTTCTCGGAATTTACCGTATTCCGTGGATGAGGTCCGACGCATAATTTCCCAGTGCCAAGTATGCTCCAAGATCAAACCCAGGTTCTACAAACCAGTGAACAAAGAGTTTTTCAAGGAAACTCAACCATTCGCAAGACTAAGTATAGATTCCAAGAGTCTGCTGCCATCCAGCACAAATAATAGATATCTCTTGACGATCGACGGAAACTCCCAATTTCCTTTCGCATTCGTCTGCCAAGACATGTCCTCCACAACAGTAATCAAGTGCATTTGTCAACTCTTTTCTATCTTCGGAAGGCCAAATTATATCCAGCTTCAGTTTCAGTTTGAACAACCATTAACCACGCATATTCGTGCGCTGGTTTTGGTTGCTGTCTTTTGGCTGCACATTTGGATGAAGAGTAGGAGAAGAAAGGAAAGTTCAAAGTGGAGTCGAACAGAAAATGGAGAAGTTCAGTGGTCTAAAGTTGCAAAGAGATTGAGAAGATGCACGAACGCCACTGTTTGCGACACACAGCCATATCACTGTGTCTGTAACCATCGGTTACAATCATCCCCAGGTCCCCAGCCAGGGAGCCTAACGGGACCTATGTGACCCGGTCTCCTGGTTAGAGTTTTCATATCCTCGTGCCAGGTCTTAGCTTGACCACCCTTGGCTTTTCCCCACTCGGTGTCTGCTTCGGCGAACATCGCTCACTGTGACAACCTATCTGGTGACATGCGTAACACATGTCCCAGCCAACGTAATCTATGGAGGTCGACAAATTGCTCCAGTGGGCGACCGCGGATACCCAAAACTCTGCGTTTAACCTCAGCATTGCTAATCCGGCTGCCCCATCAGATTCGTGCAATGCTGCGTAGACAGCGGTGTTCAAACACCGACAGTCTATCTTTATCCTGTTTTCTTAATGACCAAGTTTCTGCACCGTATAGTAAAACTGTCCAAACTGTCGCGGCATACACTCGACCCTTCACAGACAGCCGGATGTCGCGACGGCGCCACAGATGTCTCACGTTGGCAAATGCCAACCGAGCCTTCTGTATGTGAGCAGACACTTCATCCGTGATGCGTCCACCGGGTGAGATGTAACTACCTAAATAACAAAACTTATCCACCTGCCTATTACTTCCCCAGTTAGAGTGAGGCTGGGTGCTGTACCGACCCAGTCTTGTAGTAACATTTCACACTTTGAAGGTGCAAAACGCATACCGAATATAGCTACACTGGCATTCAAATTATCCAGAAATGCTTGCAACTTACCTGGATCTTCACTTAGTAGCACAATGTCGTCTGCGTACTCTAGATCGGACAGTCTGCCACTTGGGAGTAAATCTATGCCACTATCCTCGCATGAGGATAGGGCTGTTTCCATAATCAGATCTAGAATAAAGTTGAATGGAAAAGGCGAGAGAGAAAGCAACCCTGACGAACAGCCCTTTCCTTGGTGAACTCGGGCGAAGAAGTGCCGTACGCTCGGACTCTACTTCTGCTATTAGTATAAAGCGATCGTAATGTTGAAATTAACTTCTGGGGCACACCTTTGAGAAAAAGGCAGCGCCAGAGTTTAGAGTGTTCGACTGAGTCGAAAGTCGCTTTCGAATCGAGGAAAACAGGTGATGGGTCTACGAAAGGAATGCCGGTGCTCCAGAATTTGGCGGAGAGTGAAGATGTGGTTCATACAACCTCGACCGGGTCTAAACCCAGCCTGGATCTCACGCGTGCGCCGTTCACGTGCGGTAGACAATCGGCGGAGTATGATGCTGGCGAGAAATTCAGAAACGATGTTGATTAGACTAATTCCTCTATGGTTTTCGCAAGAGGATCTATCAGCGTTCTTGTAATTTGGTATGATCACCGATTCACACCATTCAGCTGGAACCTTTTCCGTTTCCCATATAGAACCCACGCGTTTTGTCAACTCCAAGACTAACGCTGATGGGAACAGCCCATCCAGGCCAGAGGCCTTATGCTTTTGAGATAACTTATTT